ACTGAAAACTATGCATTATAATATCTATAAGAAAATTAAAATAAAATAAATATTCAAAATTTTGTGAATTTTAATTATTTAACATAATTAAATAATTTAACTACGAACATTTTATTTTCATATTACGGTTTGTATAAATATTTTTATTTAAAAGCGTCGAAACATAATTATCTTAATAAAATCTATATATTGTTATATGTTTTATAAAATTATTAAATGATTAAATATGTCTTTTCTATCTCAAAAAAAAAAACTCATTGAATTGGATTGAACGGGAAAAACGCATTGAACAGGAAAAAAAGAGAAAAGATAGCGCTGTTCGTACCTGCATCACGATCGATCAGCTTGCAAGTACGTGAGGCTTCATACGCGACAAATTTTTTTTATCTTTTTTTCTATTTTTACTCACTCTTCGCATTTACAGGTCTAGAGTACATTGGCAGAGTAGTAAATGCGAAATGCACCACGGAAAAGAACCGCAGTTCCCAAGTGCGCTTACTCTTGTCCCTGAGGCGCAAATAAAATATCCAGGTAGGAAGACAGAGCAAGAAAAAGTTAGAGAGACAGACAGAGGGAGAGAGAGAGAGAAATTGAGAGAGGAAGTGAGTGAGAAGAGAGAATGAGCGTATGGGGGATGAGACATGGGGGATCACTTTCCGTGCCAAATGGCGCTTAGAATTTTGTGGGACGTGTAGGTACCTACGCGTTTGAGTAACTGTAACCGATGCAATTTGACAGAATGGTAAATACTATCCAAAGAATCAAGTATGTAAACTCATGCTAGTTTTCTTAAATAGTTCGAAACTGGACCAAATTGATGCGTCTATGCACATGTACTTTTTTAAGAACATTAAATACAACAAAAGCTATTAAAAATGAAATATTAACAAATATTAAACTGTATAATTTATAGATGAAGATTGCAAACCAATACAATATTAAAACATAATTCAAATTTCAAATATTACAATAATTTAATATTAAGTAAATATTATATTCTTAGAAAATTGATATATCAGAATTTTTGATACAAATTGTTCATATTTAAGCCACTTTTATACATTTATTATTTAATATTATAATTAACCAAATTTAGTATTATTTAAGAAAATATAATATTAATTATATAATAATTGAATACATTATAATCATAAAGCATTTTCAGTAACTGATAATTATCATTAATAATAAATTTATTTAATGCGACTATTATGAAATATTGTATACTATAATAAAATATTATTATTTTCATTAAATAAATGTCTATGATATTTAATAGAAATTTATATAGTAATTCTAAAACTCTAATAAATTATTTTCTATATCTATTTGAAAAAATTAAAAGTCATCAGCAAAATAAAAATTTCAATGAAAAGCACATCCATATTTTGGATAATAAAGTGTGACAAATACACGAATACACATTATTTTTACTATGCTATGATAATCATGACCGTATTATGTAAAAAATTTAATGTTTTTAATTATTAATGGCTAATTACAAAATGAAGTTAAGTGAAATCTCAATTCCAAAATCTGCATCAAATGTATAGATTCGTAGTGCTCTTATGTATACATATTCATATGTATATATATTATGTATATATTTTAATATGTATATATATATATATATATATAATATGTATATATATTCAATCGTAATATACATTAAATTATAATAATATATTTATTACCTATTATATTTAGATAAATCATTAAAATTTTCCAAATAATAAAGTTTACTATGAATACATGAATACACATTTGTTTATCCCTTTATGTATAAAAAAACAGTCATGTGAAAAATCCAAAGATGTATTTAATAGTGGAATAAGTATGTATAACAAACGCAAGTGATATTTTAACTAAAGAACAAAATATTTTATTGTTGTATACTCGTGAAATATTTGGTATGCAATTATAGTAATTATAAGTTTTACTTCGTAAGTACATTTTGATAAGATAGGTGGAATAAATAACAAGTCATAATTAAATTACAAGATAATAAATAATATTATTGATTACATAATACTGAAGTGCGTGATATTGTAGTTTCTGACTATGTACGTAGTAATGTTTATTACAAAAGCATTTTGTAATACATCACAATTAGAGCCATTTTTCAGTAATTATTCTATAGATTTTGAAACAGAATATATTCAGTGGATAGACAGAAATGAAGGAATTATTTTATTTTGGTAATTACGTTAAATTAAAACTCTAACCTGATTTTTCTTGGTTTATTGATTAACGATACTTTCATATTTTTACAAATACTGGAAAATATCTTGCAATATTAATGATAGCAAGCAATATTGTGTTAACATTTAGAGTTTATAGTATAAAATATATTGCATAATATAGTATAATTTATATTATAAATGCATAGGTAGAAATTATATTTGAATAAAATTATTTAATTTTATAGATGTTTAGTAATTAAAATTTATTTGAAAAAACTCACTGTATTTTACAGTTGTAATGAATGAAAACTCGAAAATCCTTTTGCAAAGTGTAAATTTTCAAATATAATGCGTGTTTAAATACGTATTTTATGAGGGATGCTAATTACAGAAAATATAAAAGGTGAAATAAATGTAGAGAATATATTAATATTAAAATTATCGAATGTTTTGGTATATTATTTTTATTATATTTAGCATATAATTTCAAATATGTATTGTAGTAATAATGAATTCATTATTAATTCATATTCTTCTTTATAAAATAAAATTTTATAAAATAAGTTTTTTTATTCCAAGTATATTCATTTGTTGTTTTACTATTTTATAAGTTATTCTCTGTTTTATTCATATAATCATGCTTATTTATAATTCATTACAGTAATAAAAATAGTATCAATTCAATATTATCAAATGAATTATATTGAAAGTAGTTGTTTTAATATGAAGAAAAACTAAAATATTTCCTATTAAATCTGACTTTAATAGATTAATCAATATTTGCTGTGGTAGTTTTTAATGAAAACGTTATAAACGCAATTTTTGACGTTATATAAATGTTTGTTTTTAAATTAATTACACAGACACACACGCACGCAGACGGACGTGCAGTTAACAATCATATTATTAATTGTTTTGTAGAAATTATATATAAAAAAAATTTCTATTTTAAACATTTAAATTTGTAAGATTTATTAATAAATTTATTTTTCTTATTAATAAATTTTATTTAATCTTATAGAAAGTATAAGTGTTATCAAGCCTAACTATAAGACGACTAATTTTATTTATTTGAATTATTTTACATGAACTTGAAATTAAAATAAAACATAAAAAATTTTAAGTAGTTTTTTTGTTATTCCGAGTAATCTATTATACGATCATATAATAAAGAAATAATTGTTTTAATTACTTCAAATGATTTTAATTTTTCAATGCAAAAGATATATAAACTATCGATAAACAATATTTTGAATCTATAAATGAAAGAAGTAAATGGAAACTTTTGTATATAAGTCAGTACGCGAAAAATGCTAGATTCAATTATTTTACTGTCCTTGCATCAGTCGGGTCTGTTGCCTCGTTTAATAAATATCTTTATAAGCTGAAAGAGAGAAATATGCGGTAAACAAATAATGCATACAGCAGATGAGTGTAAAATTTGTTTGGATTAACTGTCTACGTTGCTTTTCGTTTCATTTACCTCAGCGACTGATGCTCCTGTAGTTCTTACTGATGCATTAAAAGTAAAACGGGGACATTCGCTAATTAAGCAACTTCGTGTTCTCGAATAAGTTTGATGTCTCTGCTTACAATTAATGCTAGCAACGTTTATATACTCTAAATACATTTTCCTTCGTCTGCTACTATGCTATCCAATGAAATTGTAATTTCTAAACCAATATGAATCTACATTTTGCAGAGTAAAATCATTTTATCGTAATCACATGTAAACTAGCGAGAAGTTTTGAAATTCTCAATAATAGAAACGAATAATAATATTTATATTTATTGCGTATGAAAATTTTCTATAAATTATAGGAAATTTAACATAGTTAGTTCAATAAAAATTTAGTTTTTAAAAATATCTGTTTATTACATAAATATTGATTTATGTCTCTTGCTTCTTTTAAGATTTAAAAAGTAAAATTTTTTCATTTCATATGATATTATAATGAAGTTAATAATGTTTTTTAATTACAGTTATGAAAACTTTTGCATAAATGTAATATTATGAAACTTTAATTTTTTGGATAATTTTAAATATTTCATTATTTTCTATTAGACTTTCTTAAGAAACTGAAAAATTAAGCATAATTAAAAGTAAAGTTTTAAATACAAATAATAATTTAAAATAAATATTTGTAACAATATAAAAAACTTTGAAAAAATATTAATTCATTATTTTTTTTATTACATTGATTCGAAACAAAAATTGATTGAATAAAATATTTTTAAAAACTATAAAATTTTTATATAAATTAAATAACGGTGCAGTTTAACATAAATATTAAACTAAAGCAATTCTAAATATGCACAGTTTATTTTTGACAAACATAGAATGTTTCTCAAAGTGTATTTAAAAATGTATTAATGTTACCATGATAATATAGCACTTTTCTTAACATTCTTTTGACTTCATCTGTACACTTTATTCAAAACGTTTTAATATATTGACGAGTTTTCGAATTATAATATATTGAATATCGATAATATAATATATATATATCGAATTATAATTATAATATAAAAATGAAAATAGCTAAATGTATGGTTCGTATAAGCTCGGATATCATATGGTTAAAGATTTCATGTTATAAGTATGTATAATATTCATTTTGAGATCTATTACATTAAAAATGTCTTGTATTTTTATAATAATTTATAATATGTGCAAAAAATATGATGTTCATCAAATAATGCGAGTATTCGGATAAAGATAAAATATGAATACAATATTAATGATTTTGTTCTACGTTTGCAGTATTACTATAATAATTTTAATTATTTTATAATTTACAGAAATGAATCATTTCTATCCATAAACTGATAAGACGGTGGAAATTTTCGATATAACAGGATGCATTATTTTCTTTTTCTGGTAAGTAAAACATATAGCAACAATTAAATTTTTATTATCTGTATAAAATGAACGTTAAAAAATATAATAAAATATATTCATTAATTAATTTTATCATTATATTAAAATAAATGTTAAAAATTTTTGCCTATTATTCTTTAAAAATTTTCAATACTTCTAAATAAATAAAATTTATAACTATTATGAACAATTTGTATGTGTATTAATGCATTACCATCGACATTAAATAAAGGTAATACAAAATTTTATAATAATTTACATAAGAGGAGGCTAACTAAATTCATAATTAATTAATCAAGTATGAAATAAAATATTATAAATAAGAATAAATGCTATTTTATTAATTATATGGCATGGAAATCATATGATATAGTTATATAAATTTATATATAAAAAATTTGAAAATCAAACATGAGTAACGCAATTGATTAAAATATTATTGTTATAAATCATATATTCTTATCATCAGCGTATAAAAATAAAAAAATTAATAAATACAAAAGTATAAATAAAAATAGGTCAAATAAATACGACATTAACGTAGAAATCAAATTAAAATTATAATATGCTAAGTACAATAGAAATATATTTTTAATTTATTATATTAACATATATGATAATTCATACATACTATTTTTGTATTACTTTTAGATTACGCTTAAAATTACTTAGATTTTGAATTTTTAATATATTAAAAATTTGAAATAAAACAATATAGAATAAAATTATATGGAAAAATCATATATAAAATTAATTATAGTATTTAGGTGATTCGCAAAAGGAATTGACTGACTAGATTGTATTTATTTACATTGCTATTTTAATATAATGTTCTATTAGATATTTTCAATCCTCTATAATAAGAATAGTTTTACACACCTACATTTTGAACACCTATATTTTGAATAACTAGAAGTAGCTCTATAATTAATACAGATAGATAATATATATAATAATGTAAATAGATCTTCTATAAATACAGAATTTGTTTCACTACTAATTTATTAGTATTATTATAGTTGTCACAGTAAATCACTACTAATTTATTAGTATTACAATTCTAGTCACGGTAAATTAAAAAATGATATTTAAGCGCGTACAATATTGTATGTTCTTAACTGTAGCATAATTTTTAAACTAAATTATTTTCTATACATTAATATTATATGAAAATTTTGGCTTATTATACAATATTGCTTTATTATAAAATATTGCTTAGCGTGGATATCATTAGACGGTATAATGTTGTAATATTATATTAAATGTATTTTTTTTTATATTAAATAGAAGTTAGCGAGGTTTAAATATAACTTAATAATAAAAATTTAATTAATAATTGTATTTAAATTGTCATTTTACTTAGATACTTTACTTAGATATCCTGCAGAAGTAATAAATGCTTTCTCCAATTTTAAAATTTCACTGATAATCGTTCATTAAGAAAAGATGTAACAGAAGTATAATTAAATTGCATTAAAGCAACCCTTTCTTGCCTTAGAATAATTACGAAAATGCATAATATAGAAACAATTCTCTTTGAAACTCTAGTATCTTAAAGTAGAACTTAATCAATTTTAATATATCATTCTATTTTACCATATTGAAAATATTGTAATATTTATATCATATCATCAGTGAAAAATTTTTTTATTGATAATTAATTATAATAGTAATAATCTGTATTATTGCCAACTACAATATTTGTCATTAATCTGCTATGTTCAAACACATGTTAACTATCAATAAAAATTATCGATTTTCATTAATGTAATTTAATTTTTTTAGACTGTATTCTAATTACTTATATCATAAAAATCTTAACTCAACATTTAACATACTATTTTATTTTATATAAATTTTTTATTATATGGATTATATTATATAATCCAAGCAATAATATAAATTTAATTTAATTTTAAAAAATTAATTATTATAAAAAATCTAATGATTATATGTAATTCGCTTATTTTATTTCAGGTGGCTACATTTTTTGAAAAAAAAAGAAAAAAATTGATAATATATTAATATAATAATAAGATATACATATATTTATATCTATGATCAAATTACAATCGAAAGATTATAATTTTTTTCGTACAATGCACTAAATAATATATTTTTGTTAATATTGCTAGAAATATTGATGCATTATTTAAAAATTTAATTATTATTCACTGAAGCAGAATATAACACATTGTATATTAAGCTACTATTGATGAAGAGTAGTATTTATTTTTTGTAACTTTTAAAATGTATCGATTTACTTAAAACAAACTATCCAAATGTAGATTTAATTTACATTATACTTTAGAATGTAAATTTACAGATTCTCAGTTTTATATTTATAATTTCATTCATTACTCCTATATTTATATATATAGTCATGTATATATTTAATTCCCATTCTTATTATTAATGACCGAGGCATTTTTATTTAATTTATTTTTATTGAATAATTTCAGAATATTGTGATTGAATATTAATAATAACTGAAACTTTAGTATATTTGTTTGATTCTACGTCTATTATTATAAATTATTTAGAATATAATTTGGTATTATACTCTATAGATAATATTTTTAAACAATGCTGAATTCGCATGCAGTTTTCTGAATTACTAATATTAATAATTAATAATAGAGCATAAGAAAAATGAACAATTAATATTTAATTCTTCTAATTTATAGAAATATTGACTTGTATTATAAATGTCCAAATCATTTGGACCTCTTCTCCATATCCTATTCTATTATTTTCATTATAAATATTAAGAAAACATACTGGTGCCATCAAATTTTTTAAATTAGTTTAATTTCATGTACTTTTGTAAATTATGTGTAATTTTTTATACAATTTCTACGTTAAGAATGGAAAAATGTTTATTTTCATGGAATATTCCAATATGTTATTGAAACATATATTATTTAATTAGATTCTATTCTATACCATTATTTTTGTGAATATTTATCAACCTATTACATAAATTAAATGCTTGTTAATAGTATTTAAAAATTAAAAAAAGAACGATTTTAAAATAACGAGCCATTATATAAATTAAATAATTACAATTTATAATAGATAAAATTAAATTATTCAATATGAAAAATTCAGATATAAATGAAGTAATTTTATATCTTTCGTATTTTTAGATTTCGTATATTTAAATATTTTTTGCCATTAATTCGTCATTTATCATAACATTGAGTTTACTCCTTTATATATTTTGTTTTCTTCGTATTAATACCAATTTATCACTATAATTTTGCAATAAATATTAAATTACTTTAAGCTTAGTTTTCCAAAATAAATATATATATAATTAAATAATTTTTCAGAATACAAAGAAAGTTGATATCATTAGCATATCATTACATATGATATCTTATGCTAGACATTCTTAATTGTTATATTTATTCTTATATTTTTTTAGAATATTATTTTGAAACTTATTATATACTTTATATTTTATTTGTAAAATATAGATTGAAATATAATCTTTGCAAGAAAGAAAAATATGAGATAGATTATATAATTCTTCATAAATTCAAAATTAAAACAATTTCCAAATGTCTTAAAAAGTGTTCTCTTATACAATTGTATTTATTGGTTTCAACGTTTTTTTTTTTATAATATCTGTCTAATAAATAATAATGATTTGTTTAGATTTTATATATAAAATTCTGTAATTTTTTTATTCATCAATTTTCATTCAAAATCCACTATAAGTGAAATTAGTAAAAGTTGATTTTTAGAATATCATTAAAAATAATATAAAAACATGGGTCCGGTGTTTTTAATTAAATGATTTTTAATTGAATAATATTATCATTTATTTATTTACGATTTATTTGATATCGTTTATTATTATATAATTCAGCTTCAAGAATAAAGATTTATCTAATTAAAATTATTATCATAAATCATTAAATTAATATCACTATGTAGAATATTTAATATATATTTATAAAACTGCTAGAAATTTAGTTGTCAGTTATTTGAATTATTGGATTCAGTTTTTGAAAATACAATATTATTAAATATGTGTTCATTTATTAGTTGCAGTAAATCTAGATATGTGAGGTATATTATAGAAGTTATTTTAACTGATATTATTTTGAAAAAGTGTTTTGTTCAATCATACACTAATCTAATTCTCAAAATATAGACTAATTTCAAATAGCTTAATTAAATTTTCTTTATTGAATCTGCATATTATATTGATTTTATTATATTTTTTATAATTATACTCATTGTTACGTTTTCTACGTTACAATATAGAGAACTACTGTCATTTTTGTTATCATTATTAATTGAGCAATTTCTGCTTGAATACTTTTAGATTTATTTCTTTAGTATCAGTAAATTAATTTTCTATTTATAATTTATTTTTTTTCAGTCCGTATTCAAATTTTTCTTCTAACAAAAGTAATATATATATATATATATATATATATATAAAAAGATGACATACTATGTTTATTATACATATGCATATAATAAACATAGTATGTCATCTTTTTGAGGGTTTCGTATATCAGAACTAATCATTGAATTACTCGGTGATTTTTACTTCGTTTCACATTGATATTTACAAAAAATTTCTAACGTTTATTTAATAATTTATGAAATATAATTCATAACTATAACTCGTATTATTGATAAATTTTTTATTTATAAATATAAGTAATATACGAAAAGTTATACATAATACTACTCATTAGAGAAATTCATTTTCATTTAAATTTTTCAGTAATGCATACTAGAAATATTATTATTTTAATTTTGATATATTTTATGGTAATTAAGCACGTTATTTATAAAACAATCTACAGTTTCAATATTTCTTTTAATTCTCGAATATGCAAGTTCTACTTATTTTTTAAAATAAAATTACTATTTTACTAGCATATCTTCATTTTTCATATAATATTTTCATATAAAAATTTTTGAAATAAATAAATAAATATATATATATATATATATTGATAAACAAAGATATA